GTCCCTCTCCTTCAGGGATTTTGTAGCCTTCTGAACTAGCCTTCATGCCCCACGCCCTGATAAACCACCTTCTCCCAGTGCCCACTCGCCGCATTGCCCTGGCAGGCAGCTCCACCGCCCCGACACCTACGTTTCTCCTGCACGTAGAGATAACCCTCCATCGTGTAAGGGCTGATGTTTTTGTGCTCGTGAGGATTCTCCTTCATCTTCTTCATCAAAGATTCAACCTCTGACCTTGTTCCTTCAAAACGATTTCTTGTCTGCAAATTAAAACAGGAATGAATGGACCCAACGTGGCCTCCTCTGCAGCGAGGAGGCACCACGCAGGGGTGGGACCCCAGGGCTGGGTCACTACAGCTCGTGTGGGACATGGGACCAGGGGAGCCCGCTGTCAGCCACAGGACAGGTTTTCTTCCTGGGCCCGGATTTAAGCTAAAAGAAAAATATTACAACAATTGGCACGTTGTTTGTATTAGGAGTTTTGTGAAAAAGTTGTTTCAAAAGAATGAAACCAGTCTATGTCCTTGGGAGAAAAAGAGTAATTTTATAACAAGAGAGGAAAGCAAAGCTGCAATGCCAACATGCCAAAGCCCTGCACACATGCCCGACGTGCGGGCACCAAACGCGCACTGGCCATGGCTGCAGCCAGCAGAAGGGCTCTGCTCCACAGCCCGGAGACTGGGACAGCAAAAAGTGCTGCACTTCCCAGAACGAACAGTGCTTTGAAACACTTGCAAAATGGTTTGAAACACTCACTAAAATCACAGGGCGCATAACGACATCTGCCCGCTGGCTGACTCCTGGGAAAGCTGGGCCTCTGCGTTTGGTATGCCGTAGGGAATGAACTGCCATGTAGGCTTGTGTATACGATGTAGCATTATTTACAAGAAAGAGTTTGCTTTCAATGACACAGTCAAAGCCTTTGCTTGATGGCACACAAAAAAAGGAGAATAAAACCTTTATTAAAATATATCAAAAAGTGTTCTTTTGCTCTGCAGGACAGTCACAGTGATGGGCACACGGCACAGTGGCATGGGTACGTGGCAAACTTACGTTTTGGATGCTGATTGTCAGCTCTGTCTTGAAATCGCTGAAGTCCTTTGCAAGCTCGTAGCCATGGTGGTAGAAGGTGAAAAGCCCCTGCAGAAAGGCCAGCAGCTGCGTTGGGGTAAAATGAATCAAGACAGTCAGTAGAGCCCCACAGCCAATGTCAGAGCCACTGCTGCAGAGGGCAAGGTTGAAATCGTCCCTGCAACGCCCGGGGGGCGTCCCTAGGAAGTCCCTAGGAAGATGCCTTGTTCCTCATTTCACTTTCAAAACCTCCTCTGAACAGACCCTGAAGCCGAATCTGTGCTTTCCTCTCCCAAAGCCAAGCCAAGCCCCCGCCCCAGGACCCTTCGGCCCCTCTGTCCCCCGTCCCTGCATCACCGATCCCTGGGATCACTGAAAGCAGAGCCGGGATGTGCAGGAAGGAGCTGGGAGGAAAAGCAGGCAGCACGCTGCCATTCCCTGCATCGCATCTCTCCCAACTCCGAGTTACTCTTCTCTCAGCA